GCATCCCTTCCCTCCAGCGTGGGAAAAGGTGGAGGGATCTTAATGGGACATCTCTGCCTCAGGGCAGAACCAGCATTGTATTAAACCTTTCCTGACAACCTTTCCTTGAATTTTTTTCTTTCCTCTGTAGTGTGTTCGTAAAACTGTCAGTGATGGAGAATCCAAAATCTCTTCAGGCAGTATACTGGCTTTAGAAAGGAATTTTCTTTAATGTCTAACTTGGGTAGCCTTTGCTTCAGTGTAAGCCTATTATTGCTTTTCCTATTACCATTGGACAGAGAAAACCATTCATTGCTTTTCTTTTTATAGCTGCCTTCTGTAGACTGTAACACTACTATCTTTTAGGCAGACCTAGGCTAGATAATATAATGTCTTTCAGTCTTACTTAACAGTTGTTTATCTAAAGCTTTGTTCATCCCTTAAATAATTGAAGGACTGTATCCGTTAATCGCCCTCTTCAGCTGTGATGCTTCAACTGGATGCAGCCCTTCATCTAAGGGCTTAGTGATGCCAATTAGATAGCAAAAAATTTCTTCATGGGTGTCATGGGTAATACAGATGTAGCATGATATATTGTGTTCTTTTTCATGCCAGTATAACAGCACTGACCTTTTTAGAATATGAAGTTTATTATAAACCTAAGTTTCATTTTCTGCATTCAGCTCTGTCTGGCTTGTATTTGTACATCTGTCTTAAGATGGTAACATTGCCTCCTTCATTTTTCAGGTCCTATTTCCACTTTGTCAAGAACCAGGCATCCGGTGTGCCTACAGCTCTGGCCAGCTTAGTGTTCTTTGCAAATTTGATGAGCCCACTCTGTCATCTGAGTCTTTAGTGAAACACAAATACTTCTGTATTCCAGACAGGCCCCTTCAGAAGTTCACTCAGTATATTACTGTAGTTTGGTGATTTACAAGTATTTCTGGGTTTTTTTCCAAACCCTTTCACATCTATCTTCCAGGAGGATTCTTTTGACAGTGTTTTTCTAGCTTCCCTCTGAGAATTTTGTGTAATTTTTTGTCAGCGGCATTGCTGAAGTTACGATATGACAGATGCTGCTTCATCTGGATTCACAAAATTTATTTCCTTGTCACAGGAATAATTTAGGTTGGGTTGATGTGATTTGTTCCTGACAAATCCATGTTGACTGTTACTTACTCCTTCGTTACTTTGTAGATGTTTGCAAATTGGAATTTTTTTTCCAGTGTCGATCTGTGAATGGAATTGAAGTTGACTGGTTTAGAATTCCCTGACTCCTCCTTTTTCCCTTTTGTAAAGATAGACAGAATTGACAGAACGCCTCCAAGTATATTTCCCTTCAATTTTGCTGTCAGAATCTTTCCAGTTAACCTGCTTGTGACAGCATACCATTTGGTTGCTGGACTGCTCTTTACAACTGCCTGAAAGGAGGGTGAATGTCTGTTCACACAAGTATCAAGAGGAAATGGCCTCAAGTTGGGCCAGGAAAGGTTTAAACTGGGTATTAGGAAACATTTCTTCACTGAAAGGGTTCTCAGGCATTGAAATGGGCTGCCCAGGGAAGTGGTTGAGTCACCATCCCCGGGGGTATTTTAATGACATGTAGATGAGATGCATAGGGACATGGTTTAGTGGTGGACTTGGCAGTGTTAGGTTAAAGGTTGGACTCAGTGATCGTAGCGGTCTTTTTCATCCCAAAGGATTCTATGAACTTATGAAGCTCACTATTCAAGTGTTAGATGTTTGCATATTGCATGGTATGTTGTACTTCATGCAGTTGCTCCCCCTCAGAATGATTTAAATGAAGTTCTAGTGGAAAGGCTTTAAAAAGAAAACTCTCCAATTTAACTTTTTCTCCTCTGAATTTAAATATTTAAGTATTGTCAAATCTGGATTATTTCCTAATGCAGTGTTTTATGTTACTTCTTAAATAAAGCTTAGTATTCATTATTCTCTTTTGGGAAATCAGTGTCAAAAGCTTTTTAACATATTTCGTTTCCCAGTTTGTCAAATTTGCCAACATTGAGGAAGATACACCTTCGTATCACAGACGCTATGACTTCTTTGTGTCTCGGTTCAGTGCCATGTGTCATTCATGTGACCACGATCCAGAAATACAAACTGAGTAAGTGCCATTCTGTACGTATTAAAGAAAACTCTCTTATCACGTTAATATAGTCTGTAGTACAGCTTGTATTACATTTAGTGGAACAGTTCATTATTCCATGGGAAGAAAATGAAAGTCTGACTTTTTAAATAACACAATCTTAGGTGGCTAGAACTCCTAGAATATTTAAGTGGAGTTTTACCTGAATAATGCCTGCCAGATTGCATGGATTCTCTCCAGAAAGACACTACTTATTACTGCAAATGTGTGGGAGTTGCATAACTCATTTGAGAAATTATTGGGGCTACTTGTATGAATAACAAAAGCGTATTTTCAGTCTGCTATTTAAGAATTACTCATTAAAATTGAATTTTCGTAGATGTCTGCTGTATAATATTGTGTGTGAAACTGAAATGCCCTGATGAATTAGTATTATAAATTTTTACGTTATTATGTAAGGACACTTTTTTTTTTTCCTCCAGCTCCCCCTAGCGATGTGTTCTTTGTATGAACTGTTAATCCCTGTTTTGACTCCTCAGCAGTTTAGAATTAAGGCTTTTCAGTTTATATGGTTTGCATCTCTGTTGTACTTATTTTCTTCTGTTTCCATTCATGAAATTGATCAACCAACTATGAAAAATCCATGTGCTGAGCATTTATTCAACCCTTTGGGTGTACTGCTGTTACTGCTTCAATGCATCAGGATTTATCTTGAAAGGTTGCCGTTTCAAGAATCTGTGAACTGCATTTTCAAAGAGAATGAATACTATGTACATTACTTAGGAAAAAACCCAAAGCAAAGCAAAACAAATTAAATCTTCCATTAATCTTCTGGCTCATTCTTTATTTTTTCTAATTTGCTGCCATTTAATTGTTGCCATATTGCTGTATGTAGGGTTCTGATGTAAGCTCTAAAAGGACTAGGATTAAATGTGCTGCTTCTTCTATACTTTTCCTGCTTCCCCTACCCCCTTTCCCTTTAGGAATATTATTCCAGTGAATGGTTTTATAGGATGACCCTGTGAATTGTTTGGGGAAGAACTCAAGGGATGGTAAATTGTGCTCAGGAGCCGAAGGGTATGGAAACTGCTTACGCAGGTGTCACTAGTGAATCCAGTGTATCATGCAACTGCCTCAGCTTAGGCTGCTGTCAGGTATACTGTATTTAGCTGAAGCTGATGGTTGCAAATAGTGTTCATAAATGTTTTAATGAGCTTTTCGTGATTTTTGCCATTTTAGGCTTAGTGAAACTAAAACAGAGATGTTAAACTGCTTGCTTACTGTAAAACATTTGCTAAGAGGTCAGAATATGAAGCTCAGCTCAGGATTTTTAGTACTGCTTTCACCTTCATTGCCCCTTGCAAATGAGAGGTAATATTAGTAATGAACCAGAACAATGAATTAATTAAGAGACTAGCACATCTCTGATTCATCTTGTCAAGTATCTACCACTCATAAGGATACCTCAAGGTAAAATACCTCAAACCTGTGATTGCTGTAGGAATAACAGAGCCTAATCTTTCAATTTGTTTTAGGTTCTGCTAATCTTTTGCTTTTCAAATTGCCAGCCTGCACTGTTATCTGTGCTTCAGTTTGCAATGTTGATGTACCCTTACACAGGGAGGAATTTCATCCTAGTGACATCAGACTGTCCATGACCTTGATTTAAATGTAATCTCCACTTAATACCTATCTGAGCCTTCTTTAGAGAAATGAAGCCTTTCTTGTATATGGTGAAATTTGATGCTGCACTTCTTCTCAGCGTTTCACTCCTCATTTTTCAACCTCTGGTACAATAGTAAGAACATTATATTATTGCTAGTGGCACTCCAGTACACAGAAGTGTGTCCTTTTCTTCCTGTGACAGTCAATTTTTTACCAAATGTATAGCAATATGACTTTTTCCACATCATCCTAGACTGTCTAGATGTATCTCTCTTAAAAGATCTTTATGAACAGCGATTGTTGTTGGAGCTGGCAAACCAGATTTGCTGTGGTTACTGAGGTAATTCAACAAAACAGATGAGCTATGACTATGGATTACAGTTCTAAATGCAGATACCACAAGAAGTCGATACCGTTTATGGGGGCTGGGAACAAACTTAGCTCATGAATGAGTGTGAAACTGAATCTCACCTGGGGAGATTTCCCTTTCAGCAGGGGAGGTTAGTGCTAGTATTTAAGGTATCTGAAGACACAGTATCAGCAAAAGTTGATTACCTAAAGAACTAATAATAAAAAAAAGTTTCAGTGTCAGAGTTTTGGAAACTCTGTGTCTTAATGTCAATCTGAGTATTTACAGATTGAAATCTAAACAAATGTATTAATGAGTTCGTTTAGCTCTGTAGTTCATCTAGCATTCAATATGTTTTAATGCAGTGAATTTGACAGAAGCAAGACTAGTTATTTTTAAATCTTAATTCCAGTATGGACAACATATAAGGGATGGATTTTAATAGAAATAGTGTTAAATTTTAGTAAAGCTTGTTCTTATTTCACTTGATGGCAGTATCACCCTTTCTTCTATTGTTTTCAGTATGTAAAATTCTATTCCTATCATTTATTATAATAGCTAATTTGCTGTTGCCACTTCAAGAAAGAATATTTTGCCATTCATTCAGTTGTACAGATTCTCCTGCAAACTGTTTTTGTTCAACAAAATAATGAAAATGGCTAACAGCTAGACTAACTCTTTTAGAATTTATATTAATTTTCCTTTTGATTGTTTTATTGTTGTTGGTGATCAGTTCTCAGTTCATTCAGTTCAAATGATTTTAGGATAGAAGTAGCTGTTCCTTTTGTGTTCAGGCTTAAGTTGATTGAATTATCCTTTGCTTTCCATCGGTGAATCTTGCACAAATCTTTATAAAGATTTGTTACGATTAATTCACAGCCTTAATTACAACTTTAAAGATGTGATCCCATGACCGTGGGATGTGATAACTGCACAACATTTTTCTTGAGCAGTGGAATAGGTTGAGATGGCACACAGTTTCAAATGATGGGTAGTAAATTGTGTAGAAGTGGTGGGTTTTTACCCACGTGACTTTATTTCAGAGGTAATGTTCATTGATCAGTGTCAGCATTACCCTTACAGATCATCTTTTATCCAATTCTTTGTTTTGTCAGCTTCCTTACCAGCTATAAAGGCATTTGAAGGTAATATGAGCAAGCTTAATGAATGGTCCCAATTTCCAAACTACCACTTGTGAGAACCTAATGGAATTCCATACTGTGTCTGCTGCCTAATAGGTAAACGGCCATACAGGAAGGTGCTGTGTTTCTACTTTTCAGTAATTCCTTTTTTCCTTCCTTAGGATCCGAATTGCTGGAATCAGGGGCATTCAGGGAGTGGTTCGAAAAACAGTAAATGATGAACTTCGAGCAACTATATGGGAACCTCAGCACATGGACAAGATAGTACCATCATTGCTGTTTAATATGCAGAAAATAGAAGATATTGACAGGTATTTTGATTCCTGGTCACTGGTATGGTTTTTAAGCAATCCTTAGGCTTAGTTTTTTGTTTTGTTATGTCAGATAGATTAGTGAGCATAGGTTTGCAGATGACACTGATGATTTTACTAGTTGTGTTTGTTAAGAACTGAGGTTTTAATTCCCATTTGGCCATTAGTAACCATTGTCTGTCCCATCTTCAACAGTACTTACAGTGAGGATATAAAATTTCTTTGTATGTAGACACCCTTCTCATTTTTTGTTTTCAGTAGCTCCTAGGCATATTGCCTGCCAGGTATGCCTTCAAAAGACACCTATGTGATAACTGATATTGAAGATATACCAGTCATTTTACAATAGAAAAGTCACTTTTTTTAGTCTGTGTCTGTATTTGTGGCTAAACGCCATGTAGGTGAAAACGTGTTTTTTGCTGGCTCTGGGAAATTTCCATAAAACCAACTTCAGCTGTGCAGACAAGCTTTATTTCCTGTCCAGCCCTAACTGCTTTGAAACCTGCGTGGTAAGTAGGCTCACCAGCCTTCCTATAACAACAGGCTTTTCATGCTTTCACCTGACACTCGGCTTGCTAAATCTGTCAGGTTTCTCTTTTTTTTTTTGTTTGTTGGGTTTTTTCAGTTGTCGTGTCCTGTCCCCGTCACACCCCTGGGCCCCGCATATTTTTCTTCTCTTATTTCTAACTGTTGGTTCCTATCTCTTCTCTAAAGCCAATTTTCTGACTAAATGACTAAAATCAACGGTTGTCTACCTGTCCATGCTCTGTCTGTTTACTGCATGTAACCGAGGGCCCACACATAAGTACAGAAATAGCCGCTTGGATTTTACATCTGAAGAGTGATTTGAGTAAGAGAAAGGTTTTTGGCTCTGCTGTTTGAACAAGGACAGCCTATAGCCTTTGCTTACTCATACAGGGCTTCTAGATGCAGGTGGGCCCTTTCCTTTGTTACTCTTCACAGTGCCCTCAAGCATAGGCTTTCCTTTATGAAACAAAATTAAACTAACTGCTGATGGAAAAACTGATTCAGATAGGGTTTGGATCAACCACTAAAGCAGATCAGTTTATATGTACTGCAGGACTAATTTTTATCATTTGTTGAACAATGCAGTAGTGGTGGTAGAAAAACAAATCTGTCAAAAGGCAACTGTTAATTAAATATCTGAACTGGCTGTTTGAAACTTTTCCTCCAGTGTATACTCAACAGAAAAAAAGACTAATGATTTTCCAAGTGGCAAGTAGGGGCCTTGTACGATGCACATATGACAGAAAAGCTGAAAACAATATTTATAAATTGTTGGCATGCTGGCCTTAAATGATATTACAGAGGATTTCTCATCTTGTTTTATACGTGACTTCATATTTGTGGAGCACAAACAGAGGCATCTTGAAGAGTAGGAGTAAGAAGCATATCATTCTGGCAGATAGAATCGAAGCATTGTTTGAGAAAGAGCAGAAATTCCAGAAAATACCTCCATCTTAAGGCCATAGAAAATAATTGGTTTTGATTAAAGCTGGAGTATGCATTGGTAAAGCATATCTTAAAGATCACTGTAATTTTTACTTGTGGAACTTTTAACAGCTTAATTCAGCATGTCAGGTGAGAGTCTTTTTGGAGATAAGAATTTAATATTTAAACAACATTTGTATTTGGGGATGTCATTATTTGTCTGTATATCTGAATGCACATTCTAGTTACATGACTGTCAGACAAATTGGCAAGTTTAACATATTCTAAAAATGTTGTATTTCACTATGATCCTGTATTACAAAATAGCTGCCATGCATCCTGCAGTATAGTATAAGGCATTGCCTGGAAGGGTAGGGTTTCCCTCCTCCAAGTTTTCTAGAAGACAGTTCCGAAGAGTCAGTCATGTATATCAATTTATGTGCAACTCTAAAATGGGGAAGGGATGTATGAAATGGGAAATTCACTTGGTTTATAATATGCTCTTCATGGTAACTGCAAAGTGCCAGCCTTATTTAAGGCAGAAGGACACTTTAGCACTCATTGGAGACTTGACTTCAAATCCTTCTAATATACCTAATGTTCATATAAATTCGGTTTTAGTGGTAGATTAGAATGTATTTCTTTTTCAGGGTGAGTAAATCATAGTCAAGCATTCCAGTAGCTACGCCACTCGAAAGTAGTGTTTAGTCTTACTTCACATGTCCCATTATATTTTTTGGCCAGTCCTGGTTTTGTGGTACTAAAGAAGTCTCAGGCTGAAGTGATGGGTTGCTTTGAGCCAGTTTAAGCCTGTGATTAGATGTTCACTATGGAAACTGGTGTTTCGTCACTCCTTCCAGTTCCTTGTTGCCACCTTTTCTGACAGAGATTACCCACAGAACAGTTAAAGGGACTAGTGCTTGCCCATTTTGTGCAGAATGGTTTCACTCCTCTGCACTTGTGCTAGTAGAGTCTGGATGCCGAGGAATAGCAGTAATTTTTTTTTAAGTGTTGCACCTGGATTTGTCAGAGGGTTTTTGATCTTTATTTAAAAACAAGTCGGTGAAACAAAACGAGTATGAGTTTCTCATTTGAATTTAGAAACCTGGGAGGCTGCACAAAGCTTTCCTTTAAAACTAAAAGTTAAAAGAGTAGTTTTATATTCACTGTCTTTCATCTGATAATGCAAAGGAGCACTTAGTGAGAAATACTTAGAGGTATGTGCTGTTAAAGTTCTAAATAAAAATGTGATTCCTACAGACAACAGAAGATGATTTGGAACATTCTGATGCAGTCTCAGACTAATGTTTTAGACTAAGACGACTGGATTGCAGTTTATTCCTTCAACCTATTTTAAAATAAGCCTCCAAGCAACACTGAGAAGTCACCTTCTGTGGGGTTGCATATACAAACACTTAAAAGATAACTTATTTTTGCTGTATTTTAACTAGAATTCTACCAGATAGACTAGCTCTCTGTGTGTGTTCTGCAGCCTGCTTGCTTTTTTCCCTCCACCCACCTGCCTTTGTAATGCTGCTGTGTTCCAGGGAATATGTGTGGAAACAGCAGTGGGAATGACAGGCCTGCACTGTCATTTGTACCTTCTCTGCACTGAGAAGGATGCCCATCTGTCTAGATCAGAGTCTAGGCAGTACAGGAAAAAAAATAGGGAGATTGAGGGGCACATTGGTGTGTTAAAGCTGCAGTTTAGTGGTACGCATGGTGGATTATATACAAAGTGTCATGCAGTTTCAAATTCTAATCATGGTGCATTTGTAAAACTATTTTTCCTTACTAATCTAACAGTGTGCCTGGGGCTTTTTTATTATTAAAATCTGACAAGCTAGCGATGTTATGATAACTTCTGAAACACTGATGTTACCAGAGGCAACAGGATTTTTATGTTGCAACTTTTAGATTGCAATAGTCTTGAAACACAAGAAGATCTTTTACTTTCAGAAGATATTGGAACTATGATGTTAACGTGTTCATTTGACTTCTGGCATTTTAGTATTTGATTCTTATAATGCTCTGAAGCTATGGTTTTATGAAGCTGATTAACTAAAGCTGATGCCTTTAGTGAACACTTTTCAACATATTTAACGCACAAGCGTGCAGTGCAGAACTGAAAGTATGATTAAGGTTTTAGTGTACTGATTTCTACAGTCTAAAACAAATCTCCTAATGCATATTGCATAATGTTAATGTAGGTGAATGAATCCTCACTTTAATTTCTACAATATGTTTTGGGCAAAAAAATACTTGCCACCACCTGTAGGTAAAATACATCTCAATATGTAACATCACACCTTAGGTGGAACTGTGTTTACTGCCTTTCTTCCTCAGTCTCCCACCTCAACTGCTCAATTTAAATTAAGTATTGGAAGCAGCTTAATGATATTATGTGTGATGGACTTAAATTCAGAAATACATTTCAAATGCCTTTGTGCTGAAAAGGAAGTGCTTTGGGCAAAGGGAATAAAACAAAATCAAACCCACAACCCAAAAAATTAACCACAAAAAATCACCTGCATCAAAAATGAGAACTGGGAAACTGGAAACTCTTCGAGAAATGCTCTACCTTTCACTGTTTCCAGTTCAGGTGCTGATTTTAGTAATTCCAAGGTGAGAACAGCCCTTCAAAGCTCAGTGGTAGAATTCAGGCCTCAGCAGATTTTAGTTTGTCCAAAACCAGTGTGTGGTTTCTGTAGTTATGCTTCTCTTACTTATGGATTCTGTCTTTAATTACTCTTACTGTCTTTTTGTACTCTATTGATTTTAAAAAGTCAGCCTAATTCCCAGTCACCAAGAGAAAATAAAAAATTAAAAATGACAGTATTGGAAATTCATAGAGGCTTGGTCATTAATATAAAAAATTAAGGCCTTGCAAGATTTATTAAGTCACAAGTTAAAATTTCCATATGAAATAAAGTTGATATTTAATTACTTCTTAATATAAAATAATTTTTGTTTTCATTTGTCATTAATTGGCTGATAGTAGCTTTGGTAATAATAAATTCTCCACCCACCCATTGCCTTTTTCCTCTCCCTCCCATCATGTCATATAGTCACAAAATCATGGAATGGCTTGTTTTGGAAGGGACCTTAAAGATCATCTCGTTCCAACCCCCTGCCCTCCAGCTGTTCCTTCACTAGCCTCCACCCCAACAGGGCAGGGGAGAAAATAGGATGGAAAAATTCATGGGTTGAGATAAAGACAGAGAGATCACTTACCAACTTCAGTCATGGGTAAAACAGACTTGACTTGGGGATAATTTAATTTACTGCCAGTCAAATACATTTGAGAGGTGAGAAGCAAAACCAACTATTAAACCAACACCTTCCCCCCAACACACACACCCTTTCCCATGCCCAGCTTCACCCCTTCACTCGACTCCTGTCCCCTCAAGGGGCACAGGGGTTGGGGGCTGCAATCAGTCCATCACAGCCCCTCTCGGTGCTCCTCCTTCCTCACACATCTCCCTGCTCCAGCGCAGGCCCTTCCCCGGGCTGCAGTCCTTCAGGGACAACCTGCTCCTGCCTGGGCTCTCCATGGCCACAGCTCCTGCAGGAAATACCCCCCTGCTGGGGCATGGGCCCCCCCCCCCCAGCGTCGCACACGGGGTTCTCG